CCTCCTCGGTGCCCCTCGCATCCTGCTCTTCCGACAGGCAGGGGAGAAAAGGGTGACGGTCGGACCGGGCATGTTAGGCTCCATCGTTTCCTCGATTATCTCATCGACCACACGCTCTTGGTAGGGCCAGCCGTGTGCAGCAGGTCATTGGCGACCTGGTAGCAGCAGAAGAAGATTGGAGGACCAAAAACGAGTGAAGCGTCCACAAGTTCGGTTTCGCGAGAAGGACGCAGGGGGAGAAATCGGTGTCTACACTCATACGTGGCTATGCGGTTGGGCCGTCGTCCACGCTTTAGAAATGGCATCTACAGTTTTCGTGTCGGCCACCATGCAGGCGACGACCGAATCACTTGCTACCTACCCTCTCTTTCACCCCGTTCAACACCGCACTTGTTGAGACTCAACTCGGTTTTGTTCGTCCAATCTTCTTCTGCTGCTACTACAGTGCAGTAGGCCGCCAATGCCCTGCTGCACACGAAGCCCTGCCGAATCGTGTCATCGACGACGTGGTCAAGAAGGCTGGTGTGCACGGCCCGGCCGTCACGATTCTCGTTGTCACATTCCTCCGCTGCCTGGCGGAAAAGCAGGGTGCGGGGGGGGTCGAGGAGGTAAGCGAATATCGTTTCATTCAATGGCAACACAGTTTCGTCGCGTTCTGTTTCGCCATTTTCGATTGCCTCGGTGTTTACTTCGGCGCCCCCGGTATCCTGCTTTTTCATGGTGGCCAGTCGGTTCATGGTCCTCTGTCACTATCTGTAGGAGCGAGCTAGGGCTAGCGCCCGCATAGTTCTCGACACAGCCAGAGACAAGCTTGGTGAAGCTACAGACCGGTCCTTTGGCCTGTTCGACAACCCCATCGCCAGAGCCGCCCGACTGCAAGATCTCGCCGGGAAATCCAACGTCAGGTGCATGCCGCACCGGGCCAGCATCAAGCGCCACAGCAACGACGATCTACCTACCCGAGATCAGCCGAAGCCGCCGCCGCCTGGGGGAGCAAACGATACCGCCGCAGCCGTTGCGAAGAAGGTTTTCACGCAGGTGGCCGCTGAGCTCCCCAAGGTTGGCGACAACCAAGTGAGGGCATTGAGACGATACCGTAGGGAATGTAAAGGTTGGTAAATTAGAGCTGAGAAGGTGACCGCTGAATGAGAGTGATTTCTGCCGGCTAGGAAATTGGGAGGAATGACCGCCCCCTACGATCAAAGGGGAAGCAATGTAAGTATCGACCGGACCGCCGAGCGTTTCTTCCTGTCGACGAACGGCCATATACTTCGGCGCGATAATGTTATTCACAAGGCACGTATGTAACACATTAAGGGAAGGCCGCTTGTAGGACCGAGACGCTTCTTCCTATTCATTGGGGTGCAGGCTTGATGACCAGGGACACGCACGCTCATCTGTTGATCACGAGACGGTTCTACGAATTATGTACATTTTTTTTCTTGGTTATCCAGCAGGCTGGATTGATATATATCCAGACCTTGCACCCGTCACACACGCCTCTATAGACTATGTAGATACGACGGCGACGTAGATACTGCTGCAGTCGCTCTTTATCGGGCCAAAAGCTCCACCCTGAAGTCGTAAGAAAGAGGTAAGTAAGAATCGAACACAGGTTGAAGAAAACGTGAAAATGTTCCAAACGGTTTAATCATGTTTGGATCCGTTGTGAAACGGTTCAATTTGTTTGAATCCGTTGTGCTGTTGGTGTGTGTGGTAGAACTACAGAATGAATCCGTTCGGGACAACCGAAACCACTGATGCAGTTCCGCCGCTCTAGCGTCCAGCAGGTGGATATGTGAATATTTGATTGAACCGCATGTACAAGCGTCTCGTGACCTAGGAGGCGCCGGTGTATGTCAGAATTGAAAAACTCGCCGCTTGCGCCCCTTTGCAATAAGAAGACAAAGAAAGAGGAGTTACTGCACTGAAGCCCTCTCTCTCCCCTCAGACGCTCCCTGTTTCGTTTGCCACAAAGACAGCATTAGATAAAGGCCCCCCACCACTGACAGGAGCAATGGCCCTCCACATGATGAGTTAAATTGTCGATTATTGTACCTCACGCTGACACCGCAAACTTCGCATGGGAAAAAAGACACCTTTGGAAGGAAACAAGGCTCATCCTTGATCCTTGAAATGCGAACACGACCACACACGACCTACAAAAATAGACTATACTTACCTGTGGTGCATACAAGTTTAGTAATCATACCAAGAACTGTAGCTGGCAACATATACTTGGTAACAAGCCACAAACAATTTCCGCACCCACATCCCGTTCTGCGTAAAACCAGCTAACTATTGTAGGTACACGATGAAGCAGAACGTAGGAAAAGCGAACTCAAGAAAATCAAAGCCCGGCCAGCCTCGACACAACCAAAACCGGCGCAGGGTTTCAGGCCCGCAGACAGCGCAGTCTACGACGACTGCAAGCCGTCAATGAGAGAGACCGTTTTGCGGGAAACACGAGTGAGGGAGTCACGCACTTGCCACCAAGCGGTTTCCGAGACACCTTTAACCTTCCTTTGCTTTTGCGGTCGGTACCTGGGTAGGCCAAACACTTGGCCCACTTTCCCACCCCTGCTGCTTTTGAGGTTTTCGCTCGCAACCCGTGCTCTCATCTGGAGCCCCCCCACCTAATAAACAAGGAAAAACGCAACGGCGTGAAAACAGGAGAACAATAATGACAATGCGTTGATGACGTAACTATACCCCTAAAGACATCATGAGAAGCCCCCACAAAGCGCACCCCCTCTCGAGAAGTACGAAGACACTGCACTATACCGCACTGATGCTCGGCTGTACTCGTGGGAACCAAGGATTAACACACTCTCATGTACAACGAGTCAACGTCCGACAGGCCGGGCGGAGTACCAGGGGAAAAAGAAACAAAAACAAATTGCAACGCCGCTGATGGGCGGCGTGCGGCATCAACAAAGAAAACACAACCAAAACGAGTAGACTACAATACTTGCGAGACGGTAGGAGCGATGGCGGCATCCGCCACCCCGGGTCAACATTCGAGAATCCCAAGTCAGTCAGTCGGCCACACCACAACACATCGCCGTCACCGCACAAGACACGCCAACACACAACACCCAACGCCGGCCGGTCTGTGCATTACATATAGACTATGGACTATGACACCCACCACCCAAAACAACCGGGCACCCAGCCGGAGACGGTACGATTGATCTGCCCGTCTTGTATGTTTGATTATGATCTGCGTGAGGCGATCGATCTATCTGCATGCCATGCACAACGCAAAACAAAAGAAAAGCACACAGGAAAGTGATTCGCGGCGGTTAGTTGCGATCGCCGCCAACGCACTGCCAATCGTGTCCCCCGTTTTCTACAAGCCAAGTCAAGCACGCATGACCCGTATTCCGAAGGACATAACAGACCTGAACGGCACTGAACTGCAAGTTGCTGCGTAAATTGTCGTCACGTCTAGCCGTGGCACAGTATGCTACCTCTCGGCACAAACCCGTCTGCTTTCCCTCCCTTCCCTTGCCCCTCCGCACAAAACAAAAGTCCACTCCTAAACTAAATAAAGTACAGGTCTTCAGGACGCACCATACCATATTCGGTACCCCTCCACCTCCAAGGCAAAGGGCAAGGAAAAGAAAGACAGCCTGCACCCTATAACCTTAAAATAGTAGCGTTTACCATCTTCGCATACAACTCCCAACGCCTTGCCCTGTCCCCTCACCAACCATATCCTCTTCCTCTACTACCACCATCCTACCGAGCTCCAACATGTACTATGCTCTTTCCCCGCGCCCGCCTCTGCGTACGCATTTCTTCTTTTTCATGCTCGCCGGCCGGACATGCGCAGGGAATACACGATCGCGGCCCACATGGCGTGATGGGCCAACATTAACAATGTCACCTGGTGTAGACTAAAAGCTTCGAAGGATCGCTGTCAAGAGAAACTCGAGACCCAAAACTGCACCACCGCTCCCCGCTCCGCCACGTACAAACATGCGATTGTCTCCACAACACCCCCTCGAACAAAAGGCACAAACAGAACGCCAAACAGAAGAACTTAACAATTCGGTGTGATGACAGTGACAAGAGCTCCTGGTCTTTTACAAATAGTTCCCGCAGGAGCTAGCTTGCTTTGGAAACCTAGCCTAACCACGTACTTTGCCGACGGTTTGAAGGCGAAAAATCCTGCATCTCCCCCCCTTCGCAACGGCACTGCCGCCCTCAGGTGTGAGACAAGTCCTTGCATTGCATTGCATTGCGCTGCATGCCAGCAGCAGCCAGGACCACCACATTAGCAGAGAGAAAGCTGGTTCAGTCAGAGGTATCACCGCTGCTACCACATCACGCTGTTCGCTTTGCAAGCGGAAGCCAGATGCGCTTCTCAATTCTCTCTCGTAGAAGCGAGCCACAGCAAACGTACCCCCCCCCCCCTGCTCTCTGCCGCTGCCACACCTTACAAAGTGCAATAACCAACTATTCGCCGCAGGACTTCTTGCGGAAGGCCGGCGATGGCGGCTACAGTGCAATCCAGCGATGGCCTTGGCTGCTGCTGCTGCTGCCCAACGCTTGGTTCGTCGCCACCCAGCACGCGTGACGTCGATGCCACCTCCGGCGATGCTGACCCCCCCCCGGTAGCATCTTCGACGGCCTTCTTCTCTCCTGCCGTTCGTGCTTGGCGCTCCCTGTACCTGCTGTCATCATTCGCCGCCTCCGCTGCGGAAATCACCACCCCAATGTTGGGCTTCGCCCGACCGCTGTTCGACAGACAGTGGATCTTAACCAGCGCGAACCGCTGGGCGATGCGGGCTGTAGCGAGGGGAGGAGGGGGGGGGCAGGGTAGCGGGAGAGAGAGGGGAAGCTAGAGGGTAAGGGCCGAAAGGCTGAAAGTTATGATTAGTCGACAGATTACCCGACGAGGCCACGACGTTATGTTCGACATCCACGAGCAGCCGCCCCGTGACGATGGGGTGATGGGGTACTACATCGGGTATTCCAGTACAAGTAGGACATGTCAAGCTTGCGGAAGGACTCACTCACTCAGTTGAGTGGGAAGCTCTACGGGCACTTCCCGAGCATTTGAGGTTCGGTGTGTGCCGAGAAGAAGCAAGAGGTGTCATGTCGCCCTTTCATGCTGCGGTGAACTTCCGGATGGGTCACATTTGTACGGACGGTGCGTTCTACCCGTCTGTATGGTACTGCACTAGGGATTTTGGATTGGATAGCAAATAGGGGGAGACTGCAAGGTGCAAAATTTAACAGCTTTATCTTTTGGTGGTGAAATTTCACCCTTCCAGTGGGCGCATCTGGTCCTCCATCAAGTATTGGAATCAACAGGGTAGGGAGGGCTGCTTTTCCCGTATGCTTACAATATACAATAGGGAAACAAGAAGCTGGAAACACCGAGCGCGCAAAAGTCAACGGGGTGTGTACGAAGCGACGCCGGCTGAACAGGCTGTCTCCCGTTCAACACCCTCGACTTGCAAAACGATGAGCAAAATAGAGTCGGTTGGTGTCTGTGGTGGGTGTTTTGAGACCTGCAGCACAGCTGTGCACCCGGCCGCCACTCGCAGATCAAGGTGCATCCGCTAAATACGTGTACGCATATCATGGCGCGAATTCCTTTATACCCCTCGCTAGGCTGACGCGCTCACACTCCTGTATCCCGAACGTGTGCGTACCACCCAATGTTACGCAGGCAGAGCCGGTATCCAAGGGTGCGGTAACTTCATCTTGTCGGAAAAAGAAAGGAAAACACACACACACAGCTTACCCTTCTTCAGCCGTCGTGCCGCTTGAAGGAGATGCACCACCTCCGCCGTAGCCCCGCTAACCTGCTCCGGTGTTTCTCCCAACGAGTTCACCGCGTCCGGGTTCGCGGACTGGCTCAGCAAGTACTGATGAGGGGGGTGAACGGGAGGAACGAAGGAACAGACGGCCGGTCAGGGGAATTCGAGTTCAATCCTCTCTTGATTCAACAAAAAATAACTATCGTAAGGTAGATGTAATCCGTAGATATTCATATGCATACAGCAGATACGGGTTCAACAAATGGTGACTTGTTTTTCTAGTAGTGATTTCCCACATCAACAACACAAACTCACATCTATCCAATTTTCCACCCCGGCATTTTAAGTCCGCCCCCTAGTTGTATTTGTCCGTCGATGAGGGTCAGGATGTTTCGGCCAAGCAAAGTACGAAGACGTATGTACACGTATACATACGCGCAGAGAAAACGCGTGTTGTTAATGAGGGCGTTAGACACTTCCACGTAAGTTGCCGGGTTGCTGGGAGAAGCGGCTTGAGGTGGGGAAGAGGTTGGGGAAAAAACTACTGCTGTGCGTTTAGGAGAAGCAGGAACTACTTGTAGTATATGAAATAGTGCGCATCAAGGTACGTGCCAATGCAGAGGACGTGCAAGGGCCAGCCTACGCACGAGCTATCTTGCTACACATTCGGGGTATCTAAGCGGAAAATATGGTTCGCATGGGGGACCAGGGGCACGGCGGGGTCTTCCATCTTAGAATGGGTGTACAGCAGTACAATATAAACACAAAAGTTAGTAGTTAAGTCTCTCTGTCTGGTCGACGAGGGCAGGGAAATATGACCGTTGCGGTCATTGTTGTTGTTGTCTTCACATTAAAAACCGTTCCGATCTCTCTCTACCCAACACCTTCATATGTCCGTACTGATCCAACGCTTGACGCGGTCGATTCCCGTGGTCACAGGCTAACTTACCATAAAAAGGCGGCGATTCGACTGGCGTCGGTCTGATGGTCTGCATCAGCATGTTCTGCATTCTACATGTGCACGAGTCTGGCCTGTGGGCGCAGGGTAGACTAAAATACGATGGTGTGCAGCCGATATCCCGGTCATTATTGTCATATGCATAGCGTGTAATCCTTCATCCTCCTCCTCCGAACGGTATGCACGTGTATGACACACCCACAAGAGATCAGGCATACGTACATACGGTCGGTACTATGCTATATTTTGGTCAAAACGTGTACCATTCCATGATACACCAGGTTGTTGGTGATACTTAAGATGATCCCTTCACGGGCCAGCGAATATACTGCTGCTGTAAGAAATTCCAGATCAGAAGCAACCCCAATAATCAAACGAGCATGAATTCCTTGACATGTTTCTCTTTGAGAAAGTATCCATACTCTTGCACCCGTTCGAAATATGACCACAGCAGTCGAAACGGAGGTGCTCCAAGTCTTAGTGAGTGGAGGGAAACCGGCTGAAAACTGGGCTTTTCGTGGTAATTTACAATAGCAGTGAAATCGCCCGACAGGGATGGGGGGGGCACCTACAAGAAAATTGGCGAAACGTGCCTCTGACTCAAATCCTATATTTTTCCCACATCTCGAAAAATCGAAAAATCACATAAAACTCTGGGTAGTAGACTTCAGGCAAATTCATATGGAGCGTCAACTCGCCCATATGATACGGCATGTATGACTGGGAGACAGAGAGATACGCTGTTGATTGATGCACTCGCATATCATATGCTACATACGGGGATGCTGGGACGTTGTTTCGCAAAATCTAATGTGCTGATGCATAAGCAAGCATGCATACACGTATGCACAACTACCGAGAGGCTCTGTTTCTCACGGTTCTGTGTAAAAACGTACAAACCACTATTTTCTATTTTCTATGCTATGTTGCGTATTACTCAACGGGCAGCTCTGCTGTGCTTGCATGTACACATGGGACATGTAGTTTCAAAAAAAAGTATGGTTGTGACTGTGGGTTCCACCCATACTCCGTGAAATATAACTACATCAAGTTCCGCTGGTTGAAGCAGGCCATCTCGTCCCTCAAACGGCAACCTGTCCACAGCAGAGTATCTATGGCATTCATGAAGCTGCGCAAGACTGACTGCACTGACTCAAAAACAAACACGAGACACCAACAATTGGTAAGAAATGCGGTCGGTGGACTGCTGGTACCACCACAGCCCTCCCGGGCTATTTGCATTAGAAATTTGATTTTTCTGTCTGCTTCCATGCTAACGGACGCCGGTGTAGCTGCACAGAGATAGATGCGCTGCTCGGAGGCCACAAAACCGTTGCCTCTAGTCGAGTAGATCGAACTAAGCGAAGAGGCCAAATTAACGGGGTGTCCCATGTTATGGACGCCTGGCAGCCGGAATTCTGTCATCTGTCCAAAGAATGCTTCCCATATGGATGTGATGGCGAAATGTCGACGGAGTTGTTCACAACGTGGCCGGCCTATCATCGCTCGCCCTTGCTATACAGAGCAGGAGGGTGCAAAAAAGCACACTGCTGCCATTGTCTATGGGGAGCGGGGTGCGATAAGAGATACGCCACCATTGGTGCAGCTTGGGCAAGCACAAGCTTTACGCGGAATTTCTTCGGAGTGAAATTCATGCGGGACATGGCGTGTGTATCTGGTGTGTGTGGCCTCGGGGAACTTCCAACAGACGCAACTGCAGTTCTGCAGATTCTTGCGCCTTCTCCGAAAATTCTTTGCAGACCCAAACTTTGATTCTTATCGGGTTGAGGTGCCAGGTGCAGCAGTTGTTCGTTTTGTGAACCCCTGTGCAGCGTTTGAGGAGCCGTCAGGTTGCAGTGGCTGCTGAGAGCCTGTGTGCTCTCTGTTTCTCTAGCAGGGAACCTATGGGCGCCTGACGACTTGAGTGCATGCTCTGAGCTAGCGGAGGGGGGGCGATGGTGTTTTTCAGCGAGCTGGCAAACAAAACCAATCAATCTTCAAATTTTATGCACATTTACCTACAGCTTGCCCGCGCCGGGCCCCGGTTTCTGAGAGCTGCATGTCTTCGTCACATCAACAGGCTACAAGCAGCAGGCGGCGGCAGCAGCGACAGAGAGAAATGCCACGGCATGGCCAACTTGCCGCAGAGCTGCAGCACAACCAAACTCAGAGCTGCGCGGCTGTACAGGGGAGACACCCCGCCGAATCTTTCAATGTTGGTAGTATGAAAAGCGTACGTCACAGCAGGAATATCAAACATATGAAGACACCCCGCCGGCTCCCTAACTCCCCGTGGTCGTGTGCTGCCTCTTTTCGCTCAGCACAGCCCGCGGCGGTGTATTAAAGAGAACACGGCAGCTACAAGTAGCTGCTGCTGCTGCTGCTGCTGCTCGGCAGAATGAGAAGACTCACCGACAGCACCTCGACCGTTCCCGTGGCAGCTGCAGAATGTACCGGGGTGTTGCCATGCGAATTCCTGGCGTTAACCCGCCCTCCCGCCTCAACAAGTCTCTTCACGACCTCGCAATGTCGATTAGCGCTCGCGAGATGAAGCACTGTGTGTCCTCCAATGGCAACCCTGTCGTGCCTCGCGCCATACCGCAGCAAAAGTCCAACGCAGCCCTCTCTGCCGTGCATCTGCAGCGGCAGAGCGCGATTCGGACTTTGGTTAGAGCGTGATGCCGGTCAGGTTTGCAAAGCAAGGGGTACACAGCAACAAATTCACACCATCTCTACTGCTGTCTGCACCCACACGGGGGACGGACCACTCTGCTTACTACTGCTGCTGTAGAGACACAGATGACAGAAGAGAGAAGAGAACTCCCCCCCCACCCGTGACGGAGCGACTATCACAAGGCACGTCTTAGTCGCAGGCGAGGCGGCGTACAGACAGGCCACGTGCTGGTAGCCAGCAGCAGCCAAAGGCTGCGTACAACTCAACACTCACGCTGGCGTGGTGCAGCAGCGCCCATCCCTCTTCGTCTCTCGAGTTAGGATCCCCCCCGGAAATCAGCCACTTGTTGAGCTCCTGCCGATCTCCTCGAACGCTGGCCTGGAAGTGCATAGGTGGGTCCTTTCTCCGGAAGGGCTGCGGCTTCAGTCGCTCAGCTGACATTGGAGGGAACGGCGAGTCCAAGCTCATGTCGCTAGCGGAGCCGGAGCACGCCGCCCCTCTGCTCGTCTCCTGCCTGGACAGAGTCAGGGTTAGCTTGGGAGACATCGTCGGGAAGTCCAGATCAAAGTCCTCTTCCTCGTCCACAACACTGCTGGACCCTCCCCCACAGCTACAGCTGCAGCTCGCGATGCGTCTCAACATTGCCGACACCCTGCTGGCTATGCACATTGGGGACGCAGCAAAGGCGGCGGGCTTCCTTCCTACTGTGCTGCTGTGGGGTATTACTCTCAAGGGTTGTGTTGTGGGCGCAGCACAGAAGGCAGCCTTCTTTTTTTTTTTTCCGAGAAGATTGGGTAATAGACTGGGGTACATGAATGTATTCACATTGTAGAAGTGTACAGTACCGAAGCAACAGAATTGGGTTCGCGTGCGGACCTATGGAAGATGACCTAAAGAGGCAAATTTCCATTTTCCAAAATTGGCCACCGCCGAACCGAACTGCTATGTCTGTTGAGCCTGCCTCTGTTTGACCCACAGGGGGAGACATCTCGCAATAATGCTGACTTGGGGAATCGTAAAAACACAGGTAGCACCCCGCGAACGCTATTGTAGAAATGAATCTACCCATTCATCCTATCGATAGAGATGGATTTGTTGTGACACCTTACGAAAAAAAAACATGAGGAGTACGGTCGGAGGAGAGCTGTGCTGTGATTGAGCAAGACAAAAAAAAAAAAGCGTACACACGCGCCCTCCTCGTGTACCACACCTGCGTGTGCTTATATTTGACTATTTACTGCGCACCTTGCTAAATAAATGTTGTATGATGTGGTGATGCTCCGAAAACAAAAACGAAACAAACATTTCCAATTAATATTGCGCGTGACTCTGTCAGTCAGTGTAGGCGCACACACCACATCCATCCGGCACCAACCACCTAGCACCGATCCCCAGCAGTTTCAATAAAAATTGGGCCATCGTTGAGTGAACTCGCAACCGAAGCAGCTTGTAGTAAATGAAGTACACCAAATACCCCCCGCGTATATAGGCCTCATTTACGGCACCCGCCTCCGGGTCATCTCGAACAGACCCCCCCTCCCCGTTGGTTAATTAATTGCGGGGTCGGGAGTGTAGTGCTTGTAGACTCCTCTTCTTCGTCAAAATAAAGTCTCTCACCCCGTTGATGAATGATTGATCTTCTCGTCGTACGTAGTCATCCGGCTGCCATAAATACGTCGCAGCATCTCACACCATAATACTGTTCAGTGATGGAGGCCTGTACCCCATCCAAAAATGACCTGCCCCTCACGCGCAATACTCCCCTCCTGCTTCTTCTGCACCACCATCCTGTGATAAGCAAAAGAGGTGTCTCCACGGCTCGTCTCCTGGCCAATCATCATTCATTCTGCAAATGTGGTTTTCTATAGAGGCCTGATTAAATTTCAGAAGACTTTCGGGTGCTCTGTGTGGTGTGTGGCTTTCAACCCTCCTCTGCGTATTATTGGTAACATCACCACCCCGCACTACTACTCATAATAGATTGTGAGATAATCGGCAAGAACAAGTAGCACATGTCCACGCACTTGCACACATGAACAAAAAAGGAAGCCAATGCTGGAGGTATCGCCGAGTTCAATGAGACAGTGGAGGGCTACTACCTCCTTAGGGGGACCAACATCACACGCCCTTCACCACCTACCTTATGCTTTTCCTTTCGTCTCTACTGCCTATCGTATAGTCAGCGCCAGGTGTTGTGGTCATACCGACGCCAGACATACCCGGCCCATCGACGGAAACACACTAAATTATTACGAACGGCCAGTTCGCCAGTTCGTGAGGAGGCTCTCGTAGGAGACAACCGCAGGTGCAGACCGTAAAGCTCATCCTAGACCATCCAACTACCTACGTCAACTCAAAGAGGACAAATCCAAGTTTCTCTACGGAGACAAGGCACGCGCTATCATAACGCGTTAGATCATAGAAGGCCGATACACTACTATTGTTGTCGACACCGAAGCTCAGCCTGACAACCTAACGCGCTATTATAGTGCTTTTCTAACTACCCGGTGTCACCCAGGTCTTTGTACAATGACTGCTTGTGCCGCGTCCTTTACTTCTCTCGACACCTCCAGCCGCAATTACTTCCCAAATCATCCTTCGGCACCAGCCACAGAAGAAAAGAGCAACAAAGCACACGGAAAACAAAACAATGTAACAGGCACACACACACACACACACACAGACGACCCTTACACAGGCAATCGCGTGGTGCGCAAAATTTTCGGGAATGCAAAGGTTGCTTACTGCATGACACCACCCGGCCAGACACTTATCATAAAAAGACGGAGAGATGAGTGGCGATACGCACCAGACGCCTTCCCTAGAGAGCCAGCCTTGCGCCAGCAGGCTCAAGAGGCCAGCAAGTGATCAGCAACGAAGTCGCAAGCGTCCTCTACCTCAAGAGAAGTCGCCCTTGAAACATCAACACCAGCACTGCTGCCGTTCGGCATCGCTACTACCGGGCGTACAAGCATCCTGTGCGTATGCAACAACGGTTATGCGTGTCTCCCGCACACAGGCACGCCTTCTTGAGGGATTTTCTCCCCCCCCAAAACTGAGACAGGCACGGCAGTTGGCTCTAAAGGTATGCTAGTGTACCGATTGCAGGACCTACATACCCCAAGCTATATTGCCACCCTTCACCGCATGCACACGACGATCAAGGTCTAATGGACCACTGGGATGCGACAAAAATCCGTCCCCTCACGCCATCGCAACTTTGAAGCATGCGGAGCACCGCTTGGGAAAGGCTTTCAGTCGGATCAACTATCGGAACCCCGTTAGGCTCGGGTAACCTTTTTTCGAAGCTGCCCACACGGAAACTAACATTTTATCATCGCACCGCCCTTCGGATCCCTACCTTGTACTTGTAGGGCAGGAGCGAGTTAAGCTCCCCCCTGTCCGTCTCTGACATCCAAGACAACCGCAGGTGGCTACTACACTACCGGCTACAGAGTTAAGTGCTCATACCAGCGCCAAAGACCTCGGGCTGGTCTCGTACAGCTGGCTGGGATCATGTTGGCGTCGCCGCCGCCGCCGCCGACTGTTCCCTCACCCAGTTCCCCATCTGACTAAAGTAGTCTCCAGAGAAGTTGGTGGTCGTCTTGAGCGTTCGCTCGTAGCGCGCGCTGGTGGAGCTAGCGCTTGTGGGACCGCAGGCGATATCCGAGTAGTCGAACGGACTCTGCCATCCCAAAGTGCGAGGGAAGGAAAAGGAAAGGGGGAGACGCCAGGGAAAATTGATACATGGGTGCGTGGGATGGGCGGTAACACAGCGCTCCCGAATCCCTTGCTACTACGAGACTTATCTCCAGGATTGCAAGCCTTAGCCAGTGCACTACCAACGCCCTAGAGCTATGACCCTGACCCCACCGTGTGTACCTGTTTGATGTCCTCTATCCCCGAATCTTCCCCGAAAAGTGTCATGGTGAACTTCCTTGGTCGAAACACCTCCAAAACCCCTCTCACGAGGGCATCGTAGTCCGGCAAGCGCACGTTCGTCTCGAAGGAGGCGTAGCTGAAGTCGGGCTCAGGGGTCACCTTCGAAACGTTGATTGTCACAATAAGTACATGGTGTTTTGGTCAGGGTAGGTCCTAGCCCAGAGAGCGAGGTGACGCGAGGTGGACACGAGGTGCAGCAGGACAAGTCAGCCAGGCGTCCGGGCAGGTAGACACCATACGGGCGGGAGGGTGGGTGGGTGCTAGCAGCGGCGGTGCCGGCGAGGGCGCACCTCACACTGTACCTCGCTTCAGTCATGTCGACCTCCAGCAGCTTTTCCCCGTCTCATTATGACGAAATACACCACCACCAGAGACGCAAAGTGGTCGTGCTTGACCCGTCCACTTCCAAGTTACAAAATTGGGGTGACTCGTGGGATTGGTTTCAAAATTGCAAACGTTTGGTCTCTTCGAAAGCATCGCCACACCCAAGGGTCTCAGGCAAGAAAGGTGGAGCAAAACACACGAGGAACACGAAAATAACAACCATGACCAGTTTACCTCACAGCATCGCCCTTTGACGACATGATGGTGTCGTAGTCACAGTTTTGACTCGACATGCGGCAGCAGCACCAAGATATCGCAACCGAACGAACGAAACCAACTGCTGGTATCATACACCTCACGACCGCGGCCGAAGTACGCGCAATGCTTGAACGAATGCGTAACTAGCTGACTTGCTCAGGCGCCCGGAACCCCGACATAAGACATGCGCGTACATACCGCAACAATCGAGTCCCACGGTTGTTCCATGCCTTGACGTAAACATCAACACACCAGTAGTTGACCGCCACCCCGCCCCTAAAACCCGCCCGCCCAACCAACTGCTGAGCTCACGTGAACGGTGTAGTAAGCTTGGCCTTCGAGCGCGTTCATGCTGTACCCGCACGGCTCGAACAGGTGGTCCTGCAAGGCTGCGTTTGGCAGCACGCTCTTTATTCCTGATCGCGACGACACGTCTTCGCCGGTTTGGATCTGTCGAGTCACGTCAAGGCAAGACAAGACAAGGTTAAGCCCGCGAATCAAACGTCTCCTTGCAGGGCTGTTTTCGAGAAAAGGTCGTCGCTGTCTCCATGATGACAGAAAAAGCTAAAAAAAACGAAGGCAACAACAGCAGCGGCACGCCAGGCCACTACCCACTTTGTCCGTCTTGTAGAAGTTTTGAGCCACCTCCGGCTCCAGGTCGTACATCATCATGTTCAGGGTCCTGTCGGCAGCCGCATTGGTTGACTTCTTGCAGTCGTCGGCCACATACGTGTACCAGTGGTCGCTGTTCAAAGGCCCGTGCACGTAGGCAGAGCCCGAGAACATCCCCTGAAGGAAATCCACCTCTTCCGCGAATGAGGTGTGCGGGTAGGTCTACCAGTCCGCGTGCGGACAAAACGTATATTGGTAGTTAAGCGGGACGGGACAATTACAGAGGCACGGGAGGGTTGCGAGTAAAACAATTGGTCGATAATAGCATACCTGGGAGCTGGTAAAGCCAACGCGTGCGTTCGTCATTACTTAACCGATCGACTACACAAGCACAGCAGCCACCACACGGTGGCGACAACTGCCGCTTCAATACAGTTCCTCGAACACCACCAGGGCAACGATACGAGAAGTCACAAATCGTAGCCACCTAGTTCTGTGTCTGTTGACGAAATTCCCCTTTTGGCCCAAGTCCCCCCCAATGCCAAGAAAATCAGTGCAATGGGAACATAGCCAACCGTAACCTCATCGTTCCCGCAGGCGAGCGGGAGCACTATAACCAACAAAAGATCACAACGCGGATCCGTTGGAAAGCGTAGGAACGCACCTGATCCGTTGGAAACGTGAAGTTCTTCCTCGAGTACCCTATCCACTCCAGGTTCAGCCCGTAGTTCTTCGATACCACCGTCAGTAGCGGTAGACACCTGGGTGACGTCGCATTCGAGAAGAAGCACAACACGCGCAAAGAAAATAAGCGGCACGGGCGAGGGGTAACGGTGGAAGAGAATCATGAAACAGTCAAAACAGCACGTGTTGAAGAAGGAAAAACCATGGGACGAAACACGAGAAACGGAAAAAAATATCGATGTAGAGAGCAGTTGAAACACAGTGGGTACATACGGTACGCGCATGGACAGTGAGTCCTAAGCGAGTACAGTGTGGCCCACGTCATCCCGGCAGGACTGGCAGCCGTCAAATAAAACATCTTGCAGCGTGTCCTAGGTCGCATCTGCCTCGCTCGTCAAGACACATGGGAGGCTACTTGAATCCAGGTTGCCCAGATTCGACGCTTCCAACTCCTAGAATAGAGTATCAAACTAGGAGTCGGTTTTGGATCTCTTCCAGAAATCGCAGGCCAAGGAGAAGGAGGAGCAACGCCGTGAAGCAACAGGAATACACGACCTAGATGGAGGAGCCACGCCACCGAAACAAGAATGTCCAACTCATACTCGAGCCGTTGGGGTCTTGCAAGACACGACCACACGCAGCGATGAATGGCACTACGAAAGCTGACGGGACATCTGGAGTTCCTTTCACGTACGGCTTTGCGCAACAAGCCCTCCGGCAGTCTATCGCATGCACAACAACTAGAACGAAACGACACCACCAAACTTCTCGAAGAAGAAAGATTTTTTCCTCGCAATTCTTGACCGGTGCCTACTGTTCTCCCTCGACCAACCAACCAACCTTAGGAGGGTGGTGGTGCCACAGGTCTTGAGCACGAGCTTGCTCTTGTAAACGAAGAGGCTGCTCTCCGACAGCACGTACGAGTCGAAGTGGTCGTTTCCTCGCTGGTGCAGGATGTGGCACTGCGCCTGTGCTCACAGCAGCAGCAAAGTCTGAGCAGTTAGTATGATAAACGCATATCAGCGTCGACCAAACGCCCTCCCTGTACCCCAAAACACGACGACATGTCAAATTGTGCTATCACGATGCATGCTGGGAACATGAGAATGTTGCTCGAAAAGTCACTAATAATACGGCAAAGAGGGCAGAAAAAAAATGACCTCCCTCGCCGAGACATTTGTACTCTTCACTGGAGCTCCAAACCTCAAAACCGGTGGAGTTATAACTATCGATTGACGAAAGCCGGAGAAACTTACCGATTTCACGAAGATACATAACACTTGTGGCACTAAGTTCCCCACCTCAAAATGTACCACACGTATGTACTCAAAATATTATAAATCGTAGACAGCAGAGATCTGAAGAGGACACTCGGACTAAGCCATAACTTGCTCGAGGGAGTGAATAAGTTCAGCGGGCGCCTTCGTATGCGCGGCCGGATCTGCACGTGGGTGAAATGCATGAGGTAGGTGACACAAGGTATCACACCCCCTGAGGCGATTTTCAACGCTCGATTTCCCCACGGCAGAAATATTGGGGTTGGCGAAAATGGCGGCGTTGGAACCGTCTCGTCGAGAGCTTTCCGATAACATATCGTTTGATTCATACATCCTCTTCGTCGTGGAGTAATCAAGCTTTGAAAATCGGTCCAGGGGGTGTGTTATCTTGTGTCACCTGCGGTACATGTAGTTTTCGTAGAATACTGCTGCTGTGGGGAACTGGGTGTCGAGTATCAACATGCGGATGACGTACGGCACAAAGTCACATTGTCTCACCGCAACAGACAGGACGAGGATGGTAGCGATGTGTTGATGACAGATATCGCCGGCGTACCACACGCTGTTCTACGGAGATCGTTAACCCTTGTCTCAAGTTTGGACTGTTTCAATTCTCAAAACACCTACTATCCTCGATGGTTTGGAACCGAGTACCCTCGAAGGTGGCAACCTCAACCTCCCACGTCTAGAACAACACGAAGCTGCAGAGCGCGCACCTGCTCCAGTATGGCATCCCACTGCTCCCTCCTGATGGCCCTGAGACCTTCCTCGTGCCCAACGTCCGGCTCGAACTCGATCTCAAGAGTCTTCTCGGGACCCTCGAACCCCTGCTGCCCCCTGCCCTCCTGGTTCTCCAGGGAAGAAGCCGGTCCTGTTCTGGTGCCCGTTGGTGCTGGTTGGCCGTTCCCCTCTTCAGGCAGACCCGAGATCTCGTCTCCTGGTTCAACCACCATTTGTGCAGGCCATGCCATGTCTGCTATTCGGGGCTGAGGTATCAAAAGCAGTAGCGGGTGGGCGAGGGGACCCCGGAGGTGCGGCGTAGTGTGACGGTGGTGAAGGGGAAGGCCGGACAACAGTCAGAATTTTCCAGGACACAGCTTGCGAGTGGACGGCAGGTTGGGTACACAAAGCGTGAAACCGCGCATTCTGTGTGCATGCCGAATGAGAGCCAGAGATGTATCAAGTGTGTGTGGTTGCATCAGGACGGTTGCTTGCAGGCTGGCAACCACGAACACCACCCCCGATGGGGTATAGTATACTCCACAGTACCGAACAAGGCGCGAGCGACCGCACACTCCGTTAGACTGAAAAATAATGGCGGGATTGGAGAGTTAAAGCAGCGTCTTGGAGAGATCATTCCTTAGAGGCGAGTCGATCTCGGGGGTATGGGGTAATCGAAGCTTTTGACCGTCCAGGGGACGCGTGACTACCCGAGCTCCGAGCAAAGTTAACTACCAACTGGTTAGAGAGCTTCATCTTCAACGGGGGTTAGAGAACGGGGAGGGCTCCAATCCGCAACGTTGTCCTTGTAGATAAAAAACGTTGAGAGTTGGTCCATGATGCCGCACTTGTCCTTGCTCATCATCATGTACAAGTACTGTAGACTGGCCTCAGCGCGTTTGGTGCAGACGTCGTGCCACCTTTGAAGGTCGAAAGCTACCGGTGCTGTACTGGTAAATTCGAAACGTCCGGATATGGACTTCCGCACACAGAGAAAACATATCGCCCCACGTTGCTAGGCATGGGACCTGGGGCATCTGGGGTAGATATTCCGCGTTTTCAGGGGCGAGTGCTCCCTGGTGACATGACGACAAGTATCGACTTGGCAAAATAGAACAGGTGCTCGGTTTAAGGCAGCGGAAACGTGTTAACCGTCAGACAACAGCAGTGCGTAGGGTTTGTTGTTGTGGAAGTATCACGCACTTGCAGGCACACTCGGGCGTCGGCTTCCGCACGCCGTTTGTTGTGTCTTTACTTTTAGCATCGGTCGCGCAAACCGGCTGACCAATGAAAACGTGCAGATGTGTTTGTGTTGTGTGTTCCCAAACGAGAGGTGCCTCGGCGCGCAGGGTTGCGCGTAGTTTTCCTGCATAACCCTACATAAATGCATGCAATCATTGTCCTTGTTATGTACTACTTGTACACGTGCGCGAGCGCGTGTGTGTCGAATGTGGTACTCCGCCGGAAAGACCCGACAGAGTAGCATATGCAGAACGGTTCTGTTGTCAAAAAAGACAATTTTGAACTTCGAACGAGCGTGTGTTTGTCGACCTACCTCACGTCTGTGTCTCGTACATGTAACTCATGTGTCGTAGAAGTCCACGTCGTCCTCTATTCTCTATTCCTACATACGTTTCGAGCAGTACTGAAGTAACAGCAGTCCGCAGCAGCAGTCAAATTCTTCATGGTGGTAAAAAAATACACGAAGTATTTGCGTGGAAAGCCGCAGAGCGATGGCGATGTGCCTTGTTGACATGGAGCATTTCGTTGGTTCATGCAGCAAGGAGCTACACATCACCAAGATACGGAGTAAGCAATTCCTACTCGAAGCTCCGCAGCTCTCATGTAGACTAAATACGTACCGCGTCACGACGTGTGGTTACAGCAAATTTCCACCGCTGGTTTTATGAGTCTACAGCAGGACTCTTGCTCACGTATGAGGTAGAAATGCAGGTCAATGGCAGTGTCATGCACCCAAGCCGCTCACCGAATCAATGACTGGAGAGGCAGTTAGCCACATTCTGCCACCGGCGCCAACATTGGGTCTGCGCCCATACCGTGGTCTCGAGACCGCAGAGGGCACTGGCGCTGGTACCCACGACGCAGCACGGTGACAAAGGAGGCAGAGACCGACCATGAACGTATGCTTAGCTGCCTTGTCCTGTTGCGGATGTTGAGGGTGTACTCTTACTCTGGCCTCCATGCCCGTCTTCCCCTGCATCCCAAGAGGTTGGTCACTGCTCGTAGGCTACCCACAGCGCGTGCGGAAGGCAATCGAGCACAGCCTCAGGACGCCCACGTGTCGTTGCTACGTTGCTACTTAGAGCAATCGAGGGGGCCCCGCACGAGAGACGATGACCAGTCAGGCTCGGCCAATCAGCAATCTCGATAACCTGTTCGTCTGATCAGCCCGTTTTTTCGCTATTTCATGCTGCCTGCTGCCTGCTGCCCGCAGTGCTGCAGTGCTGCCTCTGCCTCTCTGCCTACCACCTACACATACAACGCTGCACGCCTTACAACATTTTGACAAGGCGGGGTCCACGCTCGTTTCACATTTTCCTCACCAACCGGGGACAGACCCTCGTATTCGCTGAGCCACGCCCCTCCCTTCGTCTCCCTCCTCTTTCTCTGAGAGGCAATAATACGAAAAAATACATCTGCGTGTTGACGCTCTTCGTGACAGTCCGTTTTGTCACCAAGCTACAACAAACAAAATCGAGCCTCGGCAGACTGCTGTGCTGTAGACATCTGTTGTAGACTGCCGCAGTGCTAAAGAAGCCGACTACAGCAGCAGTTGTTCAAGACAGAGACATCTAGTTCCAGAATGCCCATACTCTGGTTTACAACCAAAACGACGGATGGATCATGTACAACGTTGACAGTCCACCGCATTTTTAGCAATAATAGACAATACACCTACCTCCAGAAAAGAGGCAAAGTCTACAACCGAAATTGTGTGCGATCGCGAACAAGAAATAACATACCTACCTCTACCTACCGCACATCATGTTGTGCCGTCCTTCGTACACACAAGTAATTTGGCCTGCCCGTTATTGAGAAATGGAGTATTGCTGTAAGAAATCGCACATTTACCGACCTCTCATCAATGACACGAAACGCACGGATGTGGGGTTGGACGAAGAAAAAGAAACGGCCTTTGACCCCTTCGTCTAATCTCGACAGCGATGATGATGATGACCTCGCCCGTGATGGACACCATTCATTACGAAGCAGCTTCCGGACCGACTGAGTCTTCACGAGCCCCCTCCAGCGAAGCTAGACCGCGCGTTGTACAAGCCTAAGCGCCGTGTGTTCTCGAGGCATAGTTGGGGGTTGGCTGTTCCTTGGAGACATCAATCAGGCATCGGGCTTCGGCTGCACAACATTTGTCACCGTGTTGTTGGCATACGGTGAAAGCATCACCATCAGCTTGAAGATGCCTCTAGATGCTGCGACGAGGGTGAGACAAGCCGTAGGGACATGAGGCTTTGACCGGCCAATCGACGGTTGCGAGGAGTCGGTGGCACTCCAGCAGGGTGACAGGGGGTGGATCCCCTACGTTCGCAACAACAACAACAACGGGTTGTACATACATAATGTTCGGGACCACGACGAGTGAGTTTCGTCCGCCCTCTCGAACGATGGTAAACGATGGTATATTTACTGCAGTACCTTGTACAAGTCTACATACAGACTAGTCCAGTAGTACCGGCAGACATGCCACAAGCAACGACAGTGGATAATGCAGGCTTCGCGTTCAATGGAATCGATATCCATGGCGGGCAAATAAGGAACGGTGAAAATAAAACATAGCTTGCTTGCAATGTTCTCCTTCGAAAGTAAGGAATTGGGACGCAGAAATCAGCGCGCATCGCCGCGGCAGTAAGGCACTGTATGACTGGGCCTCGGCGAAAACACGTGTTTCTTGCCAGCGGGCCGGTACTGCTGGAGCATAATTCCGCACACGAACAAAACGACGTGTTTTGGATGTACGGGATCGTTCATGCGCGTGGAGAGACAGAAGAAGCACAAAGTCTGATGTGCCGACCCAACAAACAAGAGGGAGAGCGGAGCCCGCCCCCCACTGCGGATATCCTTTTCGAGCGAATTTCATGTCTTTGATGATGTCATTGCGTGAGGAGCAATGAGCGATTTACGTTGTGCTGCGAAACCCGGTCGGCCCAAAATGACCGGCAGTTATCTACGGCGGCGTACGTAGACGCACCACTCACTGCGGAGCCCATGGGCTGTCGCTTGCGAAAGCATGGTTTCAACGGTGCCTCCGCAAACTGGAGTGAGGCCAAGCTGAACCCAAGAGCCGCGTCGGCGATTACGTTTCGCCGCCTGATGGACCCACGCCTCTTTCAACGGACATCATCCTCCGGGCTAGATGGATGATGATACATCCACCTGGAGCAACTTCCGGTAACCTTCTTCAGCTGACTCATTAGCCGGTGAAGATATCTGTGATGCCAGTGTTGTCAACGTGAGTGAGCTGTTGTGCTATAGCGGTAGTCGGCACGACGACCGCACGGCTCTGTAAACATTCCTTGTTTGTTACTACATGAAGGAAATATGGACGCATTCGCAACAATTCCCAGAACAACTATCAATTTACAGCAGCACCTAAATGAGGACCGGCGTGGCAAGAAGAAATTCCGATCCCTTGCTACGCCGCCCTACTTACTGGCGGCAGCATCAGCATCGAACCCGGTGTCTCGATGAGCTCGCAGGCACTTGGGCAGAGGAGGGAGTTTCGAAGACACGCGTGGGTACAAAGGAGGCCGAGATATTCGAGTCAGCAAAAATGTCAGTAGAAGATAATAATATGTACCTGGCACAAAACACCATGCATGCGACTGTCGGGAAGAACGTGGTACAGTATGTCACGCGGCGCGTCGCGCGCCTGCTGCGGCGCTCTACGGCAGATACAACTCAACGAAGGCAGTACAACTCCAGGAAATCGCAGCGCTTGGGGGTAAAGGCCTCTCGCGTCGTTTAATGCGCCATGCCATGCCGTGCTAAAACTATTGCGGCGGCCCACCTTGATGTTGCAGTACACGAACTGAAACTTATGGAAGTACTCCCCCTCCACCGGTTCGAAGCGCTTCTTGCACCAACAGCACGGCAAGTAATCCTTCGGGATCTCTATTGGAGGAGGCGGGGTGTACCAGTCCAGAAGGCCCAGCATGTTATCCCTTGTCATAAGCCCGATGTCTTTCGCGCTAACCCCGAGTCGTAGTAGGCGTGGTGGGACCGTCCGCAAGGCGTGGCCGTAGCCGTAACCCCCGAATCTTTGGGTGGGTTCATGAACAAGCGCGAGATTAGGGGTTCACACAATGGTGGTGCGAAGTTGAGTATAGGTCATAGAACACGTGACCGACAGGAGCACTTGTGGTTGCATGCTGTAAAGTTGACGTTTACAGGAATTCTAGCTGGAGGTGGCGAGCGCTGCACGTATCATAGGGGAAAAGAGGTGCAGGAAGCGGGGGTCCTTACGGACACCGTAGGCAAGGGTAGCAAAGATGTCTGACCTCACAAGGCTGTAGACGCAAAACAACGTGTGGTGCCCATCTACGCACCGATTGGCCTCTGAACGCCTTGTGTTCGAAGAGAGGGGCGATCACCAACTTAAGGGGCAAACACCTACTTTAATATTTGATTTGCACACCGCGTAGGAGATGCTACTCGAATTTTTCTCCTGAGCCAGAGTAATAAGAGCTTCCCAGCAATCAACCGCATCGTTACGTCTGTCTGCATGTGTCTCTGGGTAGGTTCCCACCTGGACAGATGAAAGCGCCTTGACACTCCCGACGATAAGATAATCCGCTCTGCGAATCCCTGACGAACAAGCTCCGCAATCCGCACCGCGCTCTCCTCGTCCGAAGGGTAGTAGTCCGGCCCAGGCAACCACTCCACCCTCCCGAAACAGTCGAAGCACAATACAATGCCTTTGCTCAGTAGCGAAGCTTGGTGGTGGAGAGATTGAGACACGCCCCCATGCATCCCTGCCACGATAACCTTCCTACTCGTAGCAGCAGCAGCAGCAGCAGCGGTGCCGTCTTGTGAGCTTCCCCAGTGTGCGGTTGCGATCACCAGGGCGGCCACCACCATTGGCCAACGAACGAAATGAGAGCATGCTATCATGAGCGGTGCTCCCGTGGCTTGCTGCGCCATTGCCGCACCTTCCAGCTCGATTGCGGCGGCTCTCCCAAGTCCCCCGTGGGTGTCTTGAGCAGGAGACCCCGCTGTAGCCGTCGCTGCTGGCGTCTCTACGCGGACTGCAGCTGGACTGCGGCAACAACTGCTGCTCAGCTTGACAAGGAGAAAGCCCGCCTGGATCCTGGCAGGCGCACTGGCAGATTCCGCCACGGCAGCGCCAGCAGGGGAAGGTGCAAAGGAAGGAGCGGCAGAGGAGGCGCCGTGTTCCCCGAACAGAAGCTGGTGCTCAAGCTCCTTGCTGATTGTTTCTGGTGATGCCTCGTATTGGGCTGTCCCGTTGGTCTGGTAGGTTTACAAGAACACACAGGGATGGGGCGCAACACGGATACGATCTACTGTAGCCTTGAGAGCAGCAAACATTTGAGCAGCAGCATGCTTGCTGAAACATCTTTCTGCCGGGGCCCTACCATTAGACACTCACACTCCATGTTAATTGCATTCTTCTTCGGGGCAGGCACGGCGTGTTCTTTCTCTAAACTTCAACCAGGCCAGCTCGCGCGCGGTAGATAGCAGAGTCGAAAACTGCAAGTAGACGCACAGCTTTTCATATGAAGCGATGCATGTGACCCGAGTTATTGTTGTTGAGGTGTGAAATCGTGGGCGGCGCTGGAATGACAGATTGTCGACGACCTGTTCCGCGGTCCCTACCAAAAATACGACCACAGGTTCAGCAACAGGGAGAGATTGGACCTCTATGTTCAGCAACAGGGGGAGATTGGACCTCTAATTTTAGGCACTGCTGCAAAAGGCATGAACCGCACCATGTATACAACACCCATACCTGTTGGCACGAAGCGCCCAGCACAATCCCCAAACCGGTTCTCCTTGAAATCTCTGCCAGGCCTGAGGGATCCCGTCCCTCTGCGGCCGTCGAGCACTCTACCAACAACCCACCCCCGGCATCCTTCAACGACGCTAGCTCCTGAACGCCTTCGTCGAACGAGAACAATCGGAAGCGGTCTGCGTCACCGCTGCTTCTTGCTTCGCAAAGGTTAGCCAGGGTGATGGGGTTGTCTTGGAATGCCGTCATGCTAGAGGTAGTCGCCCTGTGCAGCAGCTCTTCCCGCGAGCTGCAGGCGCCGGCAACAGCGTCTGCGGCTACCGGTAATAATACCGTGGGAATCATGATGGAACTGCCAGCTGGATATATAGTCTATGGTCAGGACTGAGGTGTGTGTGCTTACATGCTGTCTGCTGCTTCGTACACAGCTAGCTGTAGGAGAGACAGGGCAAGGGAGCAACCCATGAACCATGAACCCACGCAACTCGGTCATGTGCGGCGGGATTTCTGTCGTGCAATAAGCCAACCCTACTTGGGGTAGTTTAATCGCAGTATATATGTTGAGGCGTGATGGAATGAACTTGCGAATAATGGCTCTGGGAGGAGGGTTGGAATTAGTTCTGGTTGAGATGCCGTCAATTAAGGCCATGAAAAGTGTATAAGATGGAGACTAGAAGGGAGAAAGTGTTGGTTTATGGTTGGAATGGTGAGCCTATGATGAGGGAATTGCAGTTAGTTGAGAGAGAGAGAGGGATAGTTGGAGGGAGAAAGAAGCGGCGCAATTAGCCAATTAGCTCGTGCCCGCTCTGCTCTCTGATATCTGATATCGCGTGTCTCCGTTTTCAGTGTTCGAATTCCCTGCTGTTCCTGGCCCACGAAGACCTAAGAAACACACTTTGATCGCACGCATCTTCGAGACGCGAAACACACACGACCCCACCGGCACATCTACATAAATATCTAGGCGCGAATAGGCCACCGCCGGCCGATTGCACGTCATCTCGAACCGGGAGTTCAGTTTGTTCCCTCTGCTTCATTCAACGGTTCAAATAGCAGGGGGTGAGCGATTTTCTTCCCCTGTCACGCGAGGTCACCAGACCGTACAAACACAAGCTCGCGCTGTACAGCAGCAGTGACGATGCATTATCACACACCACTGATCCCCACGCCCGACTGACTGCATGCAACCCTGGTAGTCTTCTCTTGTACAGGGTTGTCAACAACCAGGCCGAGTTCCCTTGAACGCATTAGTCTATTGCACTCAAAATCATTGTCATGCTTCTCCCCCAATTCGAGCTCTTGCGTGTTTACAGCAGTGAGTTGACGACGCTGAAAACTTGAAGAGCTTTCGTTCTAGAGTATATCTACTGGACAACCCCCGCATGTTGAAGAGGTTGGTTTGGGCGATCACGCGCTCCCACCGTCGCAATCTTCAAATATATTTTCCCTTGCCTGTATTTAGGCGGAGAAATCCGGCATGAGAGTGGGGTGACACTAGAACAGGGTCGTTCAGAACCATTCTAGTTACGCCACACGCCCACCTTCCCCAAACAAAACGGCTTCCAACGTGACAACAAATAATACGATAGCCACGCAACACAGAATATATGACAACCCGTGGATCAGCATCCATGGTTTTACTAACAAGACCGCGCACGAGATTAAGAATAAAGCTGCCTGCCTGGCCAGACAGAGGCGCGTCGTTCCCCGAAGAAATTCCACATTAGGATACGATCTACATATCGCATCGCAGCCTCAGAGCTTAGCCAGTTCCGCGGCTAGCTCAACAGCAACCTTGCAGCCGTCATAGATGCCGATGCTGAGGTTCTTGATGATCTGCTGGTTCATGCTGACGAACAGGTCCGGGCGCTCCTTCGAGCAGAGCATCTCCACGTAGTGCGCGGCGGACTGCGTGTCACACGCCAATGGTACACATTGGCAACGGAAATGAGGTGCATGTAAGGGGGTTGACGAAGGAGGAGTGAGGTTGGACGTTGAACAGATAATTTGCGTTCCCGCAATGAACGAGAACATAATTACCGCAGCACTGCAGGTATATACCTGGCCCGCACAAAGCAAGATGGCACGTGCCATTCCTGTCACCGTATTAGTTACTGCTGTACCGGCAACCTTCGGCTTCTTCCGCCAAGAAAGCAGGGATATGTGACTTGAGCGACAGTCTTAAACAGCGAACAAAGCAAGCACATATTGTAGTCTTAACGCCTATCATGAAACCGAAACGCTAACCTCCAGTGTGCGAACCTCCGGCGTCCCATCCCCAATCTCCGCCTGACGAAAAAACAAAAAGTTGGACGCGTGCGCCGGACAAGTGGATCAACACCAGGTCGATTCAGTCACTTGAACGTGCATCAAGATACGTTTGAGCACTTCTATGCTGGCGAACGACTCCGCTACATGATGCCATGGTGATCAACCGGGTAGACCAGTCAACTTGAGGTGTACGGTATATTGAGCACGTTAGATAGTTAGACAGCAGGAAGAAACACCGGTACAATCAAGGCAACATTTTCTTTCCACAAGCACCGCCCAAGAGGAATACTAGTATACCCTGTCTGAAATATATGGACCATTCGAATTCAAACATGAATATCCCACTTTCCACTATATTTCCAAACGGAGGGAAATATTGCTACAAAAAAAAAGCCATCTTACCGCTCTCGTTGCCGAGTGAGCTTCATGGTCCCCCACCCTGCGGATCATGAGCTTGGGCAGCGGGTAGAACGCCAACTCGGACGGCTTGCAGCACAAAATGTCAGCCACTGGCACCTGAATCAACACACGTCGACACATCGTCGATCGCGTTAATCACTCTCCTAAAGCATGCTTTAGCCTGTGCACGGAGTATATCACGTTGGTATTTCGGTGAGAAGACACATGTCGCTGTCCTGCATACCATGCGTGGGCTAGTTCAGCGCACCGCTACGGCCAAAAGGGCAGGTCAATTCCATGATCCTAACAAACGTTGACACGCGAAGAAGTCTGACTTCCAATCACCCTGGATGACACACTAGCGACTAATTAGCGGAACAATTGCACATCGGACCGATACCGCACGCGTCTGGATACTAGTTTCCTTTACGGAACAACTCCACACCAACAAATGCACTGAACAGCCGGACGAACCCGAGCGATTTGATTGGCCACACAACATATAGCAATCCCATGATACAGTACATACAGTCCCTTTCCACACGGCCCGGATGGGTGAGCAGCCCCGCAGGCGGGGCATCGATTTTGCGGAGCTTCTTATGACAGAGGCTGGAGAAATATCAAGACCGTTCCTCAGAACAGACCTCACCAGAAGGTCGGTAGCCGCCACCGCCGGGAAATAGTCGTCAAAGGCGAACATGATGACAGGGGGGAGTCCTTCCTCTGCAGCGAGCACCCTGTCACGTGTCATGTGCGGTCCCAAAGAGTTTGGTCGGTGCACTCCATAAAACAGCGCTCGTGGGCAAATCGTTCGTCGAAAACGCCCTACCAGTTTCCCAAACATTTGCATCGAGCAGCCCTACACCAGTGCATACTATTACATCGTCGCACAGCGACTGCGGTTGGACGTGCACCCATTTCGAGGCAAAAGCCACCATCGTATTCGTTTTGCAATACAAAAGCATACACACGAGGCTACATACACGATGTGTGTGAACAGGCAAGCGGTATGAAACAGTTCAACAGCGTTACAGTCGTGGCGAGATGTCTAGTCCCATCAATGCGTTGCAGGAGCCGTCTTACGCTCATGGCCATACATACGCATACCACCACTACGCAAACGACAAGAACCATGCAATGCATTCGAAGAGATGGTACAACATAAAGAACTGACCTCTTCATGAAGGCTCCGCTGTCATCATCCTCTCCCTCTTCAATCGACAGGTGCAAGCGTGCGATGAGAGCCTTCATCTCATCGAAATCGCTGATTACCTGATCACGAGAAATTGAGTATGAGGTTCTATCATGGCCGAACAACAGACGAATCACGATGAAGCGCGAAAACAACTGACAGACAACACCGGGGCCAAGAGAAATGAGTGAATAATATTGTGCTCTAAGGTCACTATTGCGAAGGGAACTCTATCCATTGCCTATCACCTGGTGCACCAAGACAAGGGACAAGAGGCCGGCACAGCATCGGATGCCGGGAAAGGTCATCTCTAGCAACAGGAGCCGTTTCCGCACCCGTCTTGATTGTTCTTGTCATAACGGTAGTGGTCCCATTCCACGCATCTCCAACACTGGTTTGCATCCCCAATATAACTGTTCTGCGTTTGAGCTAATTGCTCTGCTGTCTCAGCGTGTTTTGTCTTTGTTGCTGGCCCTACCTCGTTGCTGCTGCTACTTTCAAGCAACATAACAAATTGAAGGAGCTCATCCCCTCGTGAAGCACTCCCAAAAGGGGACACAGCAGTGCAAGCAAGGCAGGAAGGCGGGCCAATCACCTTGAAACCGATTCCTAGTTCCTCCAAGCACTTCTTGAGGGACTTCTGCATGCTAGCGTGGTCTCCAGCGTTGAGCAGCAGCCTCACCCGGCCATCCTTCAGCGGCTCCACCAAGTTGCGAACGAAGCCTGTCGTGTCATTTCGTGGCGAGCTTTGTAACACCATGCAGAGATACGGCAATCATCTTTGGGTTTGTGTGAGTGTTGCGTACAAGCCAACCGTGGGCCACACAATTCTTGGTGTTTGAGGGACAAGTGTTCGGCCTTCTGTCGTCGATGGTGAATGAACCTCTCATACTTGGAGGTCCTGATGCATACAGAGGTGGGAAGGCGGGACGCGAGTGGGATAGGCAGACAAGGGGCGAGGTACCAGCAGACAACCTACTCTCGTTGCTGGTACAACCTAATTACCCATTCAGAGCGGGGTGTTGGGCGAAAGGATATCGATCTGCCGAAGCACAGTTCGCCACTGGCTGCTACTGTTCGCGGCAAATCGTTCAACCATTCGTGTCGGCCTTGACTCAATCAAGCCTGTGGAACGGCACACACAGTCATGCAATAACTGATCCGATTGTGTTAAAACTCGGCGCGGAATATAACTAATGGAAATTGAAGGGGTCTGCCATGATCACCGGTTTTAAAGGGACCGGTCATTTTCTCAACATGGCGTTGTATTAGTACGTGACAAATTTTTACGCACCAACGCCCGGCGTATCAACATACAAGAAGCGTATGCTCCATACCTGAAACGAACTTCCTCTGGGCGCCGGCACCTCCAACAGGCACCAGCAGGCGCCGCGCGCTCACGCCCGAGGAGGCGCGCGCAATCCGTGACCTGACATGGCCAAGACGAAGCCAGCATCATCGCATGCGTCGGTATGTCGGAATCTCGATGCCTTGATCGGGGTAAAGAACGACAGCCTATTCTCACCTTGGACGGCGCAGGCAGAAGTTCGATGATAGTTTTTCAATCATTGACACTCGCGGGCTACCCCGAACGAAAATTCACAGTTGCACGCACCAGACTGGCGGCGGCGGCGGCGGCGGCGGCGGCTGGCAGCTACAAATAATACGACTCACCATAGCCGCACTTTAATAGACAACTTGTTTGATATCGTACGGTGCGCGTTTGAATGGTACAACGTGTGTGATGTTGTTGAATGATTCAGCGGAGCATGGGGCATCTTGTTGAGTTGAGTTGAGCTATTTATACCTGCAGTCCTGGTCGATAGTCTCGTGGACGCCCTTGGGAACCCAGTGGCCAGCCAAGCGGACCTATGCAAGACACAGCGACACCAACGCCCGGCACACGACACGGGATATGAACCGTGATAGGGCGTCGTCAGACATGACATGGCAACGCATTTGGCAAAACTGGATGCAAAGCGTCTTTCCCGGTAAAAGACAGACGAGAGCGCATCCATCTTGACAGCGTACTCATGCCCGAAGAAGCGAAATCCAGGTGCCGGGTAAGCCCTACCTAACACACAAGCACAGGTGTTGTTTGCACGCTGTTCAACTTAGATATGCACTCCAGTAGGTGGCATGTCGCAAACGACCCCGTATCTACACAGCAAGAGCTCCATCCTCACCACGGCCTCCAGCAACACACACCAAAGTAAAGAGCGCGCCGAAGCACGAAATAGGCCGAGTTGATCCAACTACTACTAAGGTAAGCACCCATCTGGTCAGCCTCGGTTTGGGCAACCGACTCCCCCTTGAGCCATCCTCTGCTTATCATCGGAGGGCTTCAGTCCTACACCACTCTGCCCGAGCATGTCGAGATCATCGGGCTACTTAACGTTTGATCCGAATGGTCCTTATAGATCAAATAGAGCGGTTGAGCCGATGTACCCCTGCCCCCCCCCCGTCGTGTACCCCAACCTGGTCAGGAGGAACTCCCATCCGAAGAAGCGCCTCGTAGTTGGAAGGCCCCTGCACCAGATTGATGGCCCCCGGCACCACCACGAACCACTGGGCCCAGTTATCGATAACTAGGTTGATCACGTGCCTGATCGCCCGGAGAACGTTGAGCGGTAGGCGTGGCCACGGCGTTAGCGTTAGATTGGAACGACACAACAAAGAAGCATGAGCGATTCTTCAAGTACGTTTGTGGGGACAGTACGCGGGAGAGCTTGGCATGAAAGCCAAGGCAGCTGTACTACAGTATTTAGGTTATCCCATGCAAACAGCCCCGTGAATCGACCACAGGAGGACTACACACGTCTTTTGTTGGAGTTTTTCTGAGGGATTGCCCGGCGATTGGACGCAGCTGGTTGCCTGCCATAGGACGTGTTAGACTCCGTAACGCCGTTTTGTTTCTTTCGCACAGCCTGTCGCTGGAGTGACTCTTGAAATTCTAATAAAGACAACCCACAGCATTCAGTACTGCCCCATCACCCTGGAACACATGTTTGCGCTCTGCGGTAGGCTGGGAAGAGGATCTGAAAACGGTGTAAGAGGATAGCAAAATGTCAGATTTACCCCTGTAGCGGCTTGAAGTCGGTCGTGTCCGTTAGGATAGGGACCGACACAACATCGTGTAACAAGAAATGCATGGTGACTCAAGTACATAAACATCGTGATCTCTCCATCTCTCTTTCACACTCTCACTTGAAGCCGCAGGCGACGGCTGTCATGCCGACGAGCGAGTGCGAGGTGATCACAGGGACGTCCTTGTCGAGCTCCATCATCAGAGGCTTGAGCTCTTCCGCCATCTGCCACGAATTCCTGCAAGACCGAGAAACCATACAACACGCACATGCTATTGACACCATTGCGGCCTTGAGTGATGTTGGCAGGGGTGAAATACGGGCCTAGCCTGAAGGGCGCCGGCGGGAAAAAAAGGTGCCATTCGCTCCCTTAGGCGAGCAGCACATTCGATTCAACTTGTTTTACCCGTGGCCATCGTTGTTGAAAAGAGTCGGGAAAACAACACAGACAGAAAGACTGCTACTCGAACGATTTTCGCTTGCATACACCTCTTGTTTCGGAATCCCGAGCGCGAGCGATCAAACTAGGAGTGACGTTATCCACGTAAAACTACCAACTATGTTGTACTCGAGGCATTTTGCCGGCCCAAAGGCTGCTTGGCTCGACAGAGTAGACATCAGCAGCCACAGAGTGACAAACAATCAGGAACGACAGCCTGCATGAAATGAAATGAAGCAAAGAAAATCAAGAACAGGCGACAACAACAACATGGCCGGCGTTAAGCAGTCCTTCTTTCTCTCTCGACACAGCACAAGTTTGCTTTGGGCCCCGCATGACTACGTAGACTAGCAGCAGCAGAACCCGGCCACCGAAGCCAGCGGTCAAAGAAAGGGCAATACGCAGCACGCAAAGTCTTGCTACTTGTACACACCTCAGAGAGTTCTCGTCACCGGAGAGAGTCATTGCCCCCCACATCTTTTCCGCCACACCGCCCAACTCCGACGCAAGACGAGAACAGTAGCTGTACAACCTGGGAAAGGCGGGATCGAGACAGAGGTACCAAGTGTGAAAAGCCTAACGCACGTGGCGGCAAACAGACGCACTTGGGGACGTGGGGACAAAGGCTTTGCTTGGAAACTCTACAAACGACAAGTGAAAAGCTTTGGACTCCAAACCCTGTTCGTCCTGTTCTTCAGGTTTCGAGAAGGCAAGACAAAAGACACACAGCAATGCCGGCGACAAGACCGGGAGGCTCGGGCCGAAAATCTGGATACCTGGTTTGATGAGCTACTACTGCTGTACCCGTGCAAGGAACACCGGTTCGACCGAACCAAGCAAAGCCGATGAGGAAACCGCCCGCAAAAACGAAGCAACCAACCCTTACCCTAACTCTAAACCTTGCGGCCGGTGAAGTCTCTCTCCCGCCCAACACTCTCGCACGACACCCCACACCAAAATGCGGAGGCCGTACATGAAGCTTGACGCTCACCCGTCTGCCTTCTTGATGATCCCTGCCTCCCTCGACTTGATGTTGAGCAGGTCGTGGAAGTATGTCCCCATCCCGGCATCCAGCCCCCACGAGCTAGCCGCGTACGCGATTCGGTGGTGCCCGAACCCCATCCTGATGGTGCCCACGAAGATCGTCCCCCCGCGGGAAGATCGGATCGCCAGGCGGGGGGTGCCACCGCCGCCAGCTGCGCCGCCCCTGAGAGAGATAGCCGCCGCCGAGGTCGAGTCGTGGTTGACCTTGAGCTTGTCCACGAACGACGAGGGCATCGCCTCGAGCGGGACGGGGTCGCTTGGGGTGTGACGCGAGGAAGCAGCGCCCAAGCCGGCTGCCATCCTGACGGGAGACCGAAAACACAAAATCGATTCAAGGTTTTGGTTGTTACGGTAAACAGAGTGCAGTGAGTAAAACACGCTCGCGTGGTCTTGGCGTAGATCGTTCGACCATGGGTTGCCTGAGGACTTACGGCACGAAAAGTTGGTGGGTGGTTACAGTATCGCCCTATCGAGCACTCACACATGCATGCATGTCAGGAGCACACGCTCTTCTCGTCTTGCTCGTCTGGCGGTCATCATGCTGGGAAACATGACGGACAAGTTTTACCGTAGGTTGCATATGCTAGGATATCACACCCCCTGCGCCAATTTTCACAGCTCGACTACTAGGCAGAACGAGCAATGACAGTGCCGAAAATGGCAGCGTTGGAACCATCTCATCGAGAGCTTTCCGAAAACCTATCAGGAGTACGTGATGTTACGCATCCATCATAGGCAACCTACGGTACTACGTGAAACCAACGGAGGCACCAGTGTGCTTGATTCAATAACGACATCGTAGTGCACAGTGAACAGGTTACGCATTAAAACCTGTTGAAATCGACCTGCGGTGTGCTATAATATTCCTTCCTTTCTTCCTTCCTTCCGCCTGACTCGGAGGGAAACAATCCACGCGTGTGGCAAACGAGCTGGATGCAGCAACCGCAAGCCTTGTTTTCGCATCCTCGCGGCCTCTTGTCAAGCACTCTCTTGTCAAGCACCACACAAGATGACCGTACACCCAGCTCCTCGGGGCAAATAGTACTCTTTCTCGAAGCCCCGTTTGCACAAAAAAACTGGCACTCTGTGTTACGAAGTACACGCACGAAGAAGGTGTCGTCGACGCTCCAACCTCGGTTCAACCTTTCCCACGCAGCTTACCAGTGAGTAAATGCCACGCCCACCCTGTCTTTGAAGCTGGGCTGTTTCCCCGTGTAGGTGTCAACATTGAGCGAGTTACGACTCATCATCGCGCCGTATGCCCAGCTCAAGTACATGATGAACACCACCGTAGCGAATACCACGGCTTGAACGACCACTGCTGCCTGTACGCGTGTCATTGTGTGTGTGTGTAGGGCATGTGCAACAAGGAGACATCAGACGAAAGCTAAGCGCCCTTTGAACATATTTCCGGCTTCTTCCCCAGTTGAAAACCGGACCCTACCTGGCTGGGGGTCAGGCACAGCCAATCCGGACGCACATCATCTCGGCGATAACCCACCCCACAAATCATTGCTCCGCGATCACAACCGTCAGGTTCAGAGCCTTGCGGCACATGCCACTGAACGACGGGTCTTGCCTCAACACACCTTCCCCAACAAGTTGGACGCTTAGAATATTTAGTCGTTTCACACGTAGTACAAGTGCAACTCCGAAGAAACAACATCCGTCGCAGTTTCAACGCCCCCTGGGTCACAATCTGTCCATCGCCAACAACGAGGAAAACACGATTCAATGATATTGGCTTGCACACTTGTGAACCCTTCTCTTGCTGAATGTGCGTGTTCTATACATACATCCTCTGATGGCTCTAGCACTTTTGAAACCACGGACCGAGTCTTTGCTAGATTTTGGGATTAGCAACTGACACGAGTTGAATGTGAAGAAACAACAGCAACAACAACACTGGCGTTCTGCGTCAAACTAGTGCAGGATACAGGCGGTTGCCGGTAGATTTACTCGTGTGCTAGGAAGGAGTGCGTGCAAGGGTTTTTCGATGTAAGCAGCGAACACAGCGGCTTCAGCACGGCTGGTGCCTGGAACTTGTTTAACCATTTACATACCATGCGTCGCGTTGGTTGGTTAGGTGCAAGGACGTTGACGCGAGAAGAATACCTCCGTTGCGATCAGACCCACGGGATGCAAGTCAAATCCACCACCGACATTTCCTGCAACAACATGGCCACCATGGAAAGCACATGGCGGGGCGGCCCCGAAGCCAGCAGCAACACACACAGCCTCGAGACTTGTTGGCAAGACTTCAAACACCATTGCGGGCTCCGCTCTTCGCGTCTACGTATTCGAGTCCCTCCTGCCCCCCTTGCGTGGCTCGCGCAGCGGATACGTGAACCCGCCGCAGGGTTACTTCTTTGCCAGCAGGCGATGGTGCTGGGAACGTAATTGAGCCAAACATAAGTCAGCAGCGGCGTCGTGTTGCTCACTCTATGCTGATTGCCTTCTGCAAGGTTGTTTGTTGCTGTGAAAGTGTCCAGAGTACATCTTGCCGTGTATGCATAGGAGCAGTAGCAGCGCCGACGGGGGTGTGTGTCTTGTACAGCAGTACATAGTCTTTTCGGTCAAAGAGCATGTTCAAATTCAAGTCTCTGGCCTCTCTCATGTCTTCAGCAGACGTTCTACCAGAAAACAACACCACACATGAAGGCAAGCAAGTGATACACAGCGGAGGTGACGGTAATCCTCGACAAGACGGAAGGGAGTATTGTACGAGACACCCGTACCACAGCCGGTACATGTACCAGTATGTACGTTACACAAGATGTGCTACATGTTGCGGCTTCCTCACAATCAAGGCAGTTCCCGTGATCCCTCCATAAGACCATAACGCTGGGGCACAGGTGACCACCGCTGTACCAGCCAAAAGAAGGAACTGCGGGAGGACTGGGGCCGAGGTCATCCTGGAGAAGGTGTGCCCTGCAGGTGTTCAAACACAGCAGAAAAGTCGCGCTTGGAGAGCTGAGGGGGGCACGCATTGATACCCCATACACGACCCTGTTGGTCCACAAACATTCAATGCGCGGGCCACCCACCCTATCTTTCTACTTTGTTCTACACATTTTGAATGTGAAGACAACAACAACAACAACTACATGTACGGCTGGCTGTTTTTCTGTGGAGTTTGTCTGTCGGAGAGGACGGACGTCGGTGGGGTGCTGTTTTACTCCGTTTTCTGTGGACGCACAACCAGCCGGTGTACCACCGGAGGGAGGCCACGTTCGACCAAGTCGTACGCACCACTTTGTACTGCTGTACAAATACTGGAGGCAAGTCCTCCCATTCCTCCATGAATCGAGTTCTACATGTAAATGTATGTTTCCATTGACCGACTGTTGGGAAATATTAATATTTGAAAAATCTCTGCCGCCGCAAAATCATTATCCTTTCGCAATCAATCATCGTATTTCCTCTGCTTGCCTCCAGCTCACCCAAGACCTTCAACCGTGGCTGTGAGAGGTACTGTAGGTGTGTGTCGCAGGCATCATGCACATACAAAAACCCCAAAGACAAGAGGGGGGAGGTGGAATAGTTTTTTTTTATTTTAGGAAAAATAGCACCTGCAGTAGGCTCGTGCGTTGTTACGTTTGTTACCATTGGCTCATTTCGTTTACCACACAACAGCAGTGACGTTGGTTTGTCGAATCCCGAGTTGAGTCATCTCAATGACGATTCTGCTGCTTGTAGGCATTGGAAAGGCCGCATGAGATCTTTCCACCCCAAAAATTCGGACGGCCGCAACAACAGTCAGTATGGGTAGACGCAACCAGAGCTCTTCCTCCTCCACCTCTCAGCGTCGAAACCACGCTGGGACTCGCCGTTCCGACCGTGGTACAGTAGTTCTCCCCACAATCACCAACCACAGTTACACAACAGTGGTCACATCCGGGAATTTTTGCGGGTAGCCATCACACTACACAACAGACGTCTGACAACACCTACCACATATGGTGCTCTGTTCGTCTATCAACCAAACCCGCATGCCCAAACCGGTCCTTGGTCTGGCGTCATGGCTTCGACCAATCACAACGCTCGCCAGCCTGGTAACTTCCAAAATGGTGGCCGTTCTCGCACCGGATGACTCATAGACGGCGGTTCGCCTCCTTCCCTCGGACCGCCTCCAGCATCTTCGGGGACTTCGTCTCGTTCATCACAAGACGCGCGTGAGTCACGCTCTGTTGCCTCAAACACGTCGGTTATACGCAACACCAACAATACTTTGGTACATTTTGTTCCTGCACACCCTGTTGCATCTCGCACTTGGGTCCTATGCAACGATAACATCACTTCGGTGAATGTTATCCCTACACTCTGTTGCCTCTACCACTCCGGTCAAGTTGTTGTTCTTGAAGTGTCGATCAGGTCGGTATCCAGCCAGATGCTCTCACCCCACCTTCACCCATCACACCATCTGCGACCCCTGCACCTTCGTCTCTTCGGATTGATGCTTCGTCGGAAACTAACCAGTCTGGCGCGAGTACTGCTGCCTTACGGTGCGGGAACAGGCTCGTAAGGCCTTCGGGGCCATGGAGTGACGCTCGTTTGCCGGGCGCCGCTCGTTCACCCTCCCCGTCGCCTGCAGATATGACTGGCCGTAGTCATACGCTTTGGATGATTGATGAGGAATCGCCTGATTGAGTTACCTCGGGTGAATCTTCGGACGCGCTCAATTCGTCTGTGCTCGCTTCCGTTCAGGGTCCGCCCTCGACCGTTGCACCGGTAGCTAACTTGCCTGGTTCCGACCGACAACTTTCAGGGTCAAATCCGCCTGGCTTCGAATCGCTTTGTTCCCGCGGTTCCGACCATCGAACATCACCAGATTCCGCCACGCAACATTTCGACCATGGGTCTCATCGTTGCACGCCCCATCTCTTCCGACGTACGCTCGCACAGAGGCGCCTTATAATAGGCCGCCGCGACCGAAGTCGACGGTGTCGACACCACCGCTTCGGGAGGACCCTCCCGGAGTGACCTCCGAACAGCCGGCGGTCTAGCATACCTTGTCATGGAGGAAAGGTCAGGAGCACCACGCCCGGCTCAGTTGTTTAACTGACCCGGCCTCGGCAGCCGTTCCTAGCGAAAGCGGCCTGTTGAATGACACCTTACGAGGCGTTTCTTCCGGTTTAGAATTGGGGCGCACCCAGCATCGAGTTGCTGGCCCAATAATTTCGAACAATCATACTTCATTCGGTCCTGCGTCGGTCTCTGCCGTTGCCGAGACCGTCCTCACGGATGTCCATGCTCCGTCCAACACAACTCAGGCATTTTGCCCACAACAGCTTCGGCTGCAACCTCAGCTTCGGCCGACAGCACTCAGGCGCCTACAGCTCCGGCTGTTTTCGACGCGGCTACCGAGTATTGTACTCCTGACATGGTTTTCTTTGGGAAACCCCCCTCTCCTTTGTCGTGCAATAAGCCAACCCTAGTTTTGGTCAGTGTAAGAAGACTTGGGGTAGTTTAATCGCAGTACATATATATGTTGAGGCGTGATGGAATGGACTTGCGAATGATGGCTCTGGGAGCAGGGTTGGAATTAGTTCTGGTTGAGATATCGCCAAATAAGGTCATGAAAAGTGTATGAGATGGAGACTAGAAGTGAGGAAGGTTTGGTTTATGGTTGGAATGATGAGCTTATGAGGGAATTGCAGTCAGTTGAGAGAGAGAGAGATGGTTGGAGAGAAAATGAAGCGGCGCAATTGGATAGATACAGGGAAGCGGCGCAATTAGCTCGTGTCAGCTGATGTTAAGTGCCCCCCTTTTTCAGTGTTCGAATTCCCTGCTGTTCCTGGCCCACGAAGGCCTAAGAAACACACTTTGATCGCACGCACCTTCGAGACGCGAAACACACACGACCCCACCGGCACATCTACATAAATATCTAGGCGCGAATAGGCCACCGCCGGCCGATTGCACGTCAGTGGCACCGAAGGAGGGGCTGTGTTTAATCGCACTGCTTGCGGTGTGGTCTTCCCATGGCACAGAGAGGTGAGGGGGGGGAAGTGACCAGCGATGAAGGGAGGGTTGGACACTCGGGCCACAGGGGTGGAGGTGGTTCTAAGGGCGGTGGGGTGGATGATGAAGGGTTGTCGACGGGAGGGGAAGGGTCGGCTGCCAAAGGGGATGAGTCCGCTGATAAAGCGAAGACAGTGAAGGGGGAAGTGGTGAAAGAGAGACCTCGGGAGGAAGGGAAAAAGAGGTCGGGTGGAGACGTTGAAGCGGGTACTCACGTCAGACAAGGGCAGTGTTATCTAAGGATGTACAGCAGACATCTGAGGATGCACAACGGACAGAGGCTGAGGTCTCTGGGGGAAGGGGTGGATGGCCTGAGGGCGAGGCGGGTTATGAGGGTATTGCGCACGCTGGGGGGGGAAGTGCGTCGCGAAAGGGTGGGACGGATGAGTTTGTTGATGGGAAGGGAGGAGTCGGCAACAAGGCCGTTGCCAAAGAGGGGGGAAGAATTGACAAAGGGGCCTCAGAAGGAGGGGAAAAAAGGGGTCGGGTGAAGCACTTGAAGTTGGCGGGATCATGAGTCCTGGGACTAAGGGTGTACAGCAGACACCTGAGGATGGACAAGGGACAGTGGGCGAGGTCTCTGGAGAAAAAGGGTGGATCGCCTGCGGGCAAGAAGGGCTATGCTTATGCTTTAGGTGGAAGTGTGTCGCACGGGGGAGGGAGTGGAGATGTGTTGCTGTGTTGCAATGTGTGCACATGTGCCTCCAAGTCGGGAAGGGGGTCTGGAAAAGGGCCTCGGGTGAAAGGTCAAGGCGTTCTGAGATGTCGGGGGGGAAGGGAAAGTGCCTCAGTGTGGATCAGAGAACGGCGAGGGATGCACCTGTCCATGCAAGGGTTGCGGATGTTGGAGCCACGCAGGGCTAGATACTCAAGAGTTTATGTGAAGAGAGCTCAAGGTCATCACTGCTAAGGCACAATCTAACGACAGCAGCTCGAATCGTGCGTATGTCAGGTGGCGATGACGATGTGCAAAAAGAGCAACGTGGGATAGGTGGTTGAACCGCCTGAGGAGCTGGAAGGCTAAACCGCATGAAGATGAGGCGGAGGGCGGTGCAGGACTGATGGTGCGACGGTCAGTTGAACAGCTCGCTGGCAGCACCTGGGTCATACAGCTTGGTGGATATTCAGGCAAGAGAGGGAGAGATGAATGAGAAGGGGGGTGGGGAGAAAAGATCCATACGTCATGCGGGGAAGTGATAAAACATGAAAATACATATGCTCTCGCGGGACAAGGGTGGAAGAGATGGAGAGAGGGGTGAAATGTCAAAAGTCTTGCGGGGGAGAAACCAGAGAAACGGGCTCTCGCGGGCTGAAAAGGGAGGTGGAGGGTGAAACGTCTTGACGGGTGGGGGTGAAGTGTGAAAGGGGTGAAAGGTATTGCGAGGACGAAAAGAAATCTCGCAGGGTGGTGGAGGTGAAGGGTGAAAGGGGTGAACGGTATTGCGAGAATGAAAATAAATCTCGCGGGGTGGAGGTGAAGTGTGAAAGGGGTGAAAGGTATTGCGAGAATGAAAATGAATCTCGCGGGGTGGAGGTGAAGGGTGAAAGGGGTGAAAGGTATTGCGAGAATAAAAAGAAATTCCGCGAGGTGGAGGTGAAGGGTGAAAGGGGTGAAAGGTATTGCGAGAATACACAGAAATTCCGTGAGGTGGAGGTGAAGGGTGAAAGGTATTGCGAGAATAAAAAGAAATTCCGCGAGGTGGAGGTGAAGGGTGAAAGGGGTGAAAGGTATTGCGAGAATAAACAGAAATTCCGCGAGGTGGAGGTGAAGGGTGAAAGGTATTGCGAGAATAAAAAGAAAGTCCGCTAGGTGGAGGTGAAGGGTGAAAGGGGTGAAAGATATTGCGAGAATAAACAGAAATTCCGCGAGGTGGAGGTGCAGGGTGAAGGAAGTCCCGGGTATTATCATGAC